CCTTGGGTTCCTTTAAATCAGAGCTAGATAAGATTTTAATAACTCTGAGCTATTAGTTGAGTTCTCCCCAAACAAGCTTGATGGGCCGAATGGCCTCCTCTCATTTGTAAATGTCTTATGTACTGTTGGTGGTATGTGTGACACAGTTTGAGAATCATTCGGTTAGAACTTATAAATAAACTGTATTTAAATTTAATTACAGAGATGAACAGCAGATGCATTTTACTGGACTACTAGTCATAATTTGAGTATTTTTTTTTTTACATACTATGGATCTTATCAATTAATTTTCTGCACTAAATTGCTAGAATATGATTTAATTATAATTCTTATATTGCTTGGTGTGGCAGCAATCATAATAAATAATAATGAAAAAGAGGTTTATCAGCAAAAACAGAAACATTTAAAATGTCAGTGACAGATTAAAGATATGGGTTTCCCTCTAAGTATGATAATGAGTACGGCTTATTATATTTTGGGACAGAATTAGAAAAGCTTACCTTCGTTGACATCATCAATGCTAACATACAGCCATAACCTTATCTGTAGTGATCAGAGAGGAAGTCAGATATTTGTCTGATAAATTACAAGTATGGGTTAGGTGACCCTCTGACAGCGAGCAGACAGATATCACTGCTGCAAACCTGGTCAATGACAGTGACACAAACAGTTAAAGAAACACATTTTTTATCCAAGCTATGCAATACAATGTAGAAAATAACTGCTGAGTCGTCTGGTGTAAAAGACTCATGTATAACATACATTCAAATGCAGGTTTCAAGTCCCAAGTACCACAGTATACAGCTGCTGATTAATCCATTCACAAGAATTATTATTGGTCTACTTTTCCTAAAAGCAATACTTGAAAAAGGTCAGAGTCTGAATTTATTACATGTCTCACATTTGTACCTGTTTATACTGATTCTAACCTAATCAAGAAACAAATGATCTCAAAAGACATCTGTGTGACTGTTTCCTGGCCTATTTTGAGTTACCATTGATGATAATTAGCCTGAAAGTGAACTATGTAAAGATTTTACTGATAATTAAGACATAACACCCCTTGAGAAGATGTTGTTTCCCTATAAGGTTTGCCAAATTTTTAATAAAGCCCATATTATTTAAAGCATGCAAATCTGAAGGCCAAGAAGCGGTCATCATGTCAATGGGACCAGTAACTATTACTGACTACAAAATCTGTGCACTGGAAGTAAATGGGGTAGTCATGCACACACTTTCAGTTTCCCCCACTCAAAGCCTTTAATGTTGATGTAACTATACTGTTAGAGGTACAGAATCACCAGTTAGCATAGTTCTTGCTTTTTAGCAGATCTGTTCCACAGTAAAAAGAACATGTTTGAAATGTAAATAGGAGCAGTATTCAAGGTTCCCCCAGCCCCTGTATCTTTCCAGTTGTGAACTCTTCAGGTCATCATTTTGATGTTTATAGCAGTTCTTCAGAATGTCCTACCTTCTGTCTTGGGTCTTCAGGCAGAATTCAGCTATAAACCATAGATGGGCAAAAATACATCAAAGTGTATTTTTGTAAGTGCATCAAAAAAAAACTACAAAATACAGCCACCAAGCAAAGTATCAAAGTACACTACAAACCAAACAAAACCTCAAATGAAATCAATGAAATGAAAATTCAAACAATCAAATGAAAAAGTAATAATGGCAAACGCAGAAAGATTTTTTTTTGTACTTTAATTGACAAAGCTGCTTCTTTTTGCACCACAAATGCAAAAAACTCAAAACAACATTTCAAATGAAAAATGACAAACACAATTTAATTGCTTCACTCAGCAACATCTTAAAAACTTTAAACTCAAAGAGGCCTAAAAGGAGCTTGTAAGTCTTTTGGTTCATCACAAGTGATCAACTATTGGCTCTAATGACCATTCATTAAAAATTACGAAAAAAACTAAACTTCCTCCTTGTGTATGCACAAATGCGTCGCATATGTGATATCATCATATAAGGGGGAAAGTATTCCTTGTATTTTCAAAATACAAAAAAAAAAGTATTTTGATGCAAAATATATAATTTCTATCAAATACAAATACAAATTACAAAATACAATTTTATTTTTAAAATACATATTTTAAATACATGCATCAGAAATACCACCCTTCCCTGCTATAAGCTACATTAAAAACATCAGATCAATCTCTATTAGGCAGGGGGATTAAAAGCTAAAAGCTGAAATGTCAGCCACGTCCGTCCTGTAGGTTATGTGGTGTGGTGCTGCACTCCTGTTGAGAGCCGTCTCCTTTAAAACTTTCCCATGGATTTTCTATGATGATTAAAATGTCTTTTGGATAAGTTTTGGGATGAAAGCCCTGAATCTACATGACAGCTCAGAGGATTGTGTGGACTTTGATTTTCTGAACAGAACTGCAAAAGCGGAGGTTGTCCTGTGGAGATCTGAAAGGACATGAATAGCTTCTGTAACAAAAACCTGCTTTTGGAATATTAAAAATAAAACACTGCTTGCAATGTAACTTGCAATTCTGATATGTTATCATCACATTCTGGGGTAGTATTTGCAATTTTTACATGCTTCATTTTTTGGGGGTGGGGGGGGGGTGGGTGCTGCTTTTGCATGCAAAGGTACTTGGTGAGACTTTGTCAAGCAGAGTTTGACTTTTCTGCTGGAAAGGCTGCATCAAGGGGTAAGTTGAGGGGTTTTTGTGGTGGGGGGCATAAGAGGAGCCATAATTCATACAAAGGGGCCAACCTCATTATTAGCCAATGATATGTTTTTGAATTAGTGAATGACAAGGGAGTGGGTTCTTTGGGAGCCAATCAGGTGTTGGTTGCCAAGGGTCCAAAATAATAATTGAATAATTATTTTTAGAGACTTCATGTCATGCCCCGCTCCGTCCGATCCTAATGTGTGCCGTGCCACGCCCCCTCGTTAACCTCATGTGGAATCCCAGTGTTTTACAGCTGTTTCGGATTGTTGTCATTAGTTCAGTGTATTTAGTCCGCGTTCCTGTTTGTATCCCCAGTTCGGTCATTGACGTTGTGATGTTACGTTGTAATGGTCTCTGTGTTTTGGATTAAACCCCTTATTCCCCGATTTCTGGCTTCCGTTCGCCTGCTTCCCCGCTCCGTGCTACACACGCCACAACACTTCAGTTCTCTTTCCTGGACATTTGGTACTAAATGCCTTTGAGAACTTTCTAAGAATTAAACAGAATATATTTATAACAAAGCAAATAAATACAAAAATCACCATACTGTTGGGAACGGTGAAAGAGCAATACATTTTCACTGTTATTTTCCAGTGAAAACACACAGAAGCAATAACCTGTTCGGAACAAAAGGCCCGAGAACAAGTTTACAAAAGTAAAGCAAAAGTTTTTCCTGTCAGTGACATTTTGAAGAACGCCATTGGTGTACAGAACTCTACATGAACAAGGCTGAACATGGAGTTATTGGACCTTTGGCTAACTCTTAAAATAGCTTTCCAGAAACTTGCCTATTTTGTACTGAAATCTAACACAGGAAACAGATCAAATGAAACTTGTTTCATGATCACTTGGCTTTTTCCTAGTTGGTTTCCTCATGTAATATTACCAGTCCCAATGGAGAAAACAACCCAATGAACACGACTGACCCCTTGATGTACTAAATATCACACAAACACACATGTAGCTGTAAACTTCATAACTCACAAACTGACAGTGCTTTTGAACACAGATATATGTGCGTGTGTGACAACACACCCAGGGGAGCATGGGAAAAAGGAGCAGCTGGCAAAGCAGATAAGGCTGCTATCAGAAGCCACCACAGCCTTCATGCATTCGTAAGTGAGAATTTCTAAGGAAACATTTGCAAATTCCTTTTTATCTGCTCATTCATACAAATCTTACCACGTGTTTATTTTACTGTCTTTTATTGCTTAAGGCATTACAGGAATAGTAAATCTATCACCATCACAAAAAGCTGCAAAAACATCGAAACATCATTCTACAGTATAATTCATGAGTGAACCATATAAGCAGCATTTCATTCCCCGAGCATCATCAAGGAAAAGAAAAGAGCAAATAGGTAATTCAAATTATTGATTAAATAAATTCACACATATGCACATAATCATTTATTATGAAGTATTTTATGTTCTTCAGGAGTTCATTATAGATATGGGGTCGGTAGGTTGTGAGTTTGATTCCCACTCTGTATATGTGTGTCTGAATGGGATGCTGGTCCATCACAGGGCCCCTAGGGAGGGGACACATGAGATGGGATATCCGTCACAGATCACACGTTACAGGCACTTTGGAGACAGTCTGCGTACAAGTATGTTTCTGGACCTCAGGAAAAAACCAGAGCACCTGGACTAAACCCGTGTAAACACTGTAAGAGCACGCATGGACACACACACACACAGTCATGTAATCATATCTTTTTGGGGACAGCTCATTCATTTCTATGGGAAAAATGCTAATGATAACTGTGACAACCTTAACCCCTACCCAGCCCTAACCATAACCATAAGTAACCAAACAAAATATGAGTTTTTGCATTTTTAGTTTTTTCATTGCAGTCACTGATTTTTATAAAATAGAGTTTGGTCCCCACAATGTAAGGTATACCTGGACACACACACACACACACACACACACACACACACACACACACGCACACACACAGCCTTATCTATTTCTAAAGATCAGCAATGTAAAGCAGTGTTTCTCAGTCTAGTCCTTGGGGACCAGATAGTCGACATTTTTGCATCCTCCTAACACCCAACACACTTGTACTAAACAATCAAGCAATCAGGACTCCAAATACCTGGTACAGGTGGGAGCAAGAATGCAGACCGTCTCCGTCTCTAGGGTCTCCACAGATTGGTTTGAGAAACACAAAAATATTTACAAAGAGGAACCAAACGTTATACAGGAAGTGCAATAGCGAGCAAGTGTAGAAAATGGTCAGTGACTCGAGTCACCACCTCCACCTTTTAGTGAAGCAGCACCAAAAAGCCAAAATTCTGACCTCAATTTGCTTACTTTATTTACCACAAATTAAATCTTACAGTACAGTATCAACTCTCTACATAATTACACAGGACAAAACAACATACTGTAACAAATTGTACATTGAAGCCGTAATTCAATACCACAGATTATGGGAACATGCAGGTAGTATATATCTACAATATATATCATGTGTGAGCATGCAGGCCCTGCACTACACATTGCAGCAAAAGAAACAGAATTACGAGACGACAGAGTTCGGGAACCACACATTGGCATCCTTATATACTACTGTAATACTGGCTGGAACCAATAATTTGACAGAAGTAACAGAGGGAACTAGTTCTGTAAAATATTAAAAACTGCAGTACACTGTAAACAGACACTGCCAGCAATGCTTAAACACTGTTAAAGCACAATGTAAACACTTGTAAGCAAAACATACATAAAATCCATTTGTCTCTTTCTCCAGGAGGCTCCAACAGTTAACTGAACTTCATTCCAGAAATATTATTACAAAAGTGCAAGCCTCAGACACTGCTGAATGACAGGAGTATGTCTCTCTGCCCAAATTTAACAAGCCTCAGACACTGCTGAATGACAGGAGTTTGTCTCTCTGTCCAAATTTAAAAAAAATCTTAATAGCAATGCACATTGAATTGTCTGTACATGAATGGACAGAACTGATAAGTCACATTCATTATGTGTCCATTGTGCCAACTGTGCGAGTCTGCAGTCCCCTGTGGATATGTAGATTATTTTACAAAGAGTTTTTGTCTTCCTGAACTTAATCAGAGCAGTACAGAGGTAAATGTCAAGGGTGACTAATTAAAAAAAAATCTATTTTAAAAATACTCACATGATTTTTCTGATTAGGCTCCAGGCTCCACTGTGACTCTGCGCAGGACAAGAGTTTAGAAGATGGATGAATGGATTTTGATTGTGAGAATTACAATAAATGGCAAATGTGGATGATACTCTACAGTACCAAGGACAGCAATGACCTCTGCTATTGTACCAGAATACTACCCAGGCAGAGAAAAACAGATCTCAAAACTGTTTCATTTATTTCTTACAACCATGAGATCTCATTAAGCTCTAAAATAGTTCTCAGATAGTTTCAACTTTTGCGTCTCATTTTGATCTACGGTGGAGAAATCATAAACACAAACTCATTCTCATTCCAGACAGATTCAAATACGTACATGAAGTTGACACCCATGTGATGAGAAAATAATAAAATGACTTCTGCTCATTTGTGCTCGGTTTGTGCTGGTTTGTCCACAAAAAAGAACATTTGTGCTTTACTGCTTCAAAAATTTCAATTACTGATTCAGCTCCTTCAAGTACTGCCACGTGGTTCCATGGTCAGCAACGTGGTTCCATGGTCAGCAACGTGGTTCCATGGTCAGCATGGTTGCCTCACCCCACTGGA